CCTAAAGGCACTGCAGTCACATCATCACTTCTGAGGAACAAGGAACAGAGAGAACAGGACAGCAAGCCCCAGAGCCTTCAAGGTGAAATGGATGGAATGCTGGGAGATACATACAAATGGCAGCAGTTTGAATTAGTGATAGGTACACATAAAATCATGCCAACATGGGCCGGCCGAGTGAAACGTTGGTTAAGAGCTGGCCTGGGATGCCAGAGTTCGGATTCCACATGAAGGCCAGTGACACTGCCCTCCACAGCTAAGATGCTGAACAACAGCTCAACCTGGAGCTGGGTTGCCATGAGTTGCTGGCGACGGCGGTGACGGGGACAGCTGCAGCCCCTGCTGCAGTGGGTTGCCATGGGCTACCATGTGTAGCCAGCAGCCAGCATGAGCGGCCAGCAGCCACTGTGAGCGGCTGTCCAGAAGCCGGCGGCTGATCTGCCTCATCCGGGAAGAGCGCAATGATGGTGCCAACTTGGGCCAGTGAAGCAACGTCCTCCACAACTAGACTGAAGAACAAAAAAAGGAAGGCAACTTGTCTGTTCCCCATCCCCCAATTAAAAAAAAAAAATCATGCCAACAAACAAAAGATTGTTAACTCTAGGGAAAACTAAAAGTTGTGCCAGAAGGGAGAAATTAAGTCATAATATATGTCCTGGGTTAGCTGTGAATAGGGTTTATATAAATTCTTAGTAATGTCAATATTTAACATTGACCCAACTAAAATGACAAAATTATACCAAGAAAATGGAGGGGCTGAAACTATGTATGATGGGTGACGATGAGGGAACAGCAAAATCTACATCTTCCATTGGACAAAGTCAATTGACTGGGCCTAATATTGAAAAATTGTGAAGTAGTAATATAAATATTTCATGTGGAGGTAGCAAAGATAATACAAAGATTCAGCTGGAAGAACTGGTGGTTGTCTCTTGGGGAGCAAGGGAGATGAGTTGCAGAGAACTACTGGTTTCCATAACGAGTTTGGTAGAACGAATTGATTTTTTAGACGTATGTGCATTGATAATTTTGAGAAAAATACAAAATTTTAAAAACCACTTAAGTTCCTTATTCATTAGCTGGTGGCAACCTAGAACTGTTACCTAGGCAACCTTTATCTTCACATCTCTCAAGGCTCAGCCCGGGGGGCCCCAGACCAAAGCACCCATTACCAGTTTGGGGCCAGCCCAAGTTCCCCGCCACTAGCCCTTGGTCTAGCTTGAGCCGTCTCAGCCAGACCTTCTCAGAGCCTGTTGAGCCTCCTTTCCTCTCCAATCCACTTAGCAGAGCAACGCTTTTCTAAACTACTCATTTATTATTACTTATTACATTTGTTTAACTAGTTCAGATAAATAAGTTGCAAATTTCTGAAGTAGATGATTCCGTTTTGATGCCTAGCAAAGTGTTAATGTCTATAGCAGATGCCCTAAAAATGATTCATGGATGCACTTAAAAGTAGAATTCAAGTAGAATAGGCAAATTAAAGTCTGGAGATAAGACCAAGGTTGATTAAAACCATGACTGATAATAGTTAAGACATGTGGAGGACCAAATTGTATCAAGATCTGTTTTTCAAAGTTCAGTGGTCTACCTTTTTGGCTAATGTTTAAGTTGACTTATTTAATAAAGAGATATTTGGACCCCACCACACTCACAAGTATCAAATTTCAGTGACCTTGTTCTTGGTAAGTAAACATGGGTCCACCCTGCCAACGCCCTATGTGACTAGAGACTTGGTGCCTGCCTTGTTTTTCTAGATTGCAAAATCCTAATCTCTGTGCCTTGACAAATTAACTTCTTTTACTGCCAGTGGATAAGACCAGAGGAGAAAGAAGGCTCCCTGGTCCCTTGCCAGAGGCGGGATGCAAACACCTGGAAGAGCAACACATGGAAGATCATCTCAATCAATGTTCAGAATGAGCAGGAGTCTTTGATCTTGGACCAGCATCATTCCATGGCTCTTCTGGTCTCACTGTGGTTTCACTTTCCATTACAGGGGGGAAACACTTGCTATTTTCTGACATCCCCAAGGGGATAAGAATTTAATGACAGAGCAAGGTAACTAAGGTGCTTGATTTGGTTTATGACCCTTTGGAGGTCAGCAGAAAGTTAAGGCTGTGATGATCCCTCTACCAGCTTCCCTCGCAGCATCAGTAACAGGAGGTTCTTTTGTGCCCGCTAGCAGGGACAGTGCATGACCTTGGAGGAGGGGACTTGCAGGTGGTTGTCAAGTGGGGCTCACTGACCAGGCATAGACTTGACTCACTGGGTAGCACCAACTCTGAAGAGTAGCTGGCCTTCCAAGAGCTGATGGAGGAGAACCATTTCAGAAAGTCTGCATCAAATGGTACCAGCCCAGCAGTCCATACCCCAAAGGAACACTGTGTCCTGGGAGGGAAATGCACTCTTGCCTTTGGATTTCATTCAATAAACCTAAGTGACCACAAGCACTATGTTTGACTTCAAGGGACCATCAGACATTCTTGGCCCTTAATGAAGAAAATAAGCTGGTTGGGTATAAAAGCAGCCAAGAAGTGGTGGGGACTGCAGTGAATTGGAGAATTCTGCTGTTAAAGCTGCTTCACCACCTTGCTTCCAGGTGGTTGTAGCCTTCTCAGTAACGAAGAACAATCTACTGATTTTTCAAGAAAAGCCAAAAATCAAGATCATGTCAATCTTTCCATTTGTAAAAACAAAATGCAGGCCAATATATGGTCACTAGTTCGCAAACTCTGCCCCTCGCTAACCAAACCCTATCTTTTCCTGTTATACCTTCAGCACCTGACAATTTCTGGCAGAAAGGAAGCAGTCAATTGGCTTCTAGCATATTAACCAGGTGAAACTCATCCAGAGGCAATGATTTGGAATCGGTATCATATGCAGAACAGTTGATGCAACTGGGGAGGATTATTAGCTTTGGAAATGACTGAAAGACATAACAATTGTAAACAAATAAGAAAATCCTTATTAAGCTAGGACACATGGTTTGGCCAACACTTTAAGGCTGGGGATAGAGGAGTGGGGGAGAAGGCTGCTTTTAGGTAAAACATACATTTGGCAACCGACCTTCGTCCCTACTACTACTGCCCATACCTCTGCCCCATTTTTTTTATTTATCAAGCGCCTGAGGCATTTGGCTTTCATACTTAGTAAGGGGGATTCAGGCTTTGCCTAAATTTGAGTTGCAAATATCCAACCTATTGCCTAAGAATCTTACCCAACTCAGGGCTTTCCCAAGGGTTAAAAGGAAATAGAATATGTAATGAAAGTGCTCGGCACAACATCGAACAAAGGGCTCAAAGAAACATTCATTATGGAGGTTTAGTTTTCTAAAAAGCACCAGAATATACAATTACTGTCAATGCATAGTTACAGGGAATCCAATTTTGGCTTAACAAACAATACTCCTGTAACAATTCCAACTGGAATGAGATTATGAGCCTGAATGTTCAAGTAGAACAGCAAGGGCCATTCCTTACGGGACACTGAGAGGCAATTCTTGCTCTAGGAATCTGACTTTTGTGGTCTCTGCTCTTAGGACCCTATGATTACATACACAGCACGGAAATCCACACTTACAATATACGTTAAAAAGAATGTGGCTGATCTCCATGGATATGGGAAGATATACAAAATAGAGTAAGTGGGGGGAAAATTATAGAACTATAAAATGAGAGCCTAAGTTTTAAAAAAATATATGTGTATGTATGTGTGTGTCTGTGTGTGTCTATACACACACACACATATATAAAAAGATATACATATATATATATATATATATATACACACACACACACACATTTATGTGTTTAGAACATTTCTGGACCAGTATATAAGAAACTTAGACAACGTTGGGTACTGTGCTAGGGGAGCAAATGTTTACTTTTCACTTTATATCCCTGTGTTCCATTTTTTTTTCTTTCCTCTTACCAGTAGCATCATTATCATTATAAAAAGAACCAAGTGGGCCGGCCGAGTGGCGCGATGGTTGAGAACTGGCTTGGGACGCCAGAGGGCCCCGGTTCGGATCCCACATATGAGGGCCAGTGACACTGCCCTCTACAGCTAAGATGCTGAA